ATTTAATTTAAATATTTATAATTAGAAGGTCCTCTTTTTATTTATTTTCTTTCATTCATTTTTTTTGTCATATATATTGATCAACCACCTCTGTATTTAAAGATTTGGAATTGGCTGAACATTCACAATCCAAAGCAAACAACACAAGTGATCAAAATATTCCACTAGGTATTTCCTTTTGTTATATTACGATATTTTTATGCTTTTATGTATGTACATCGTAACGAATTTGTATTCTAAACTTTCTTACTATTTTGACCAGTTGATGTCGGAGAAATTGAGAAAGAAGCATCTGATCATGAGGTAGATGAAAACACAACTCTTTCAAATTCAGGTATATTTATAAGTATTGTACCCTACTTAATTATGAAAACATAAATTAATTTTTTTTAATCACTTATTATCGTTCATGTAAATATATTAATTAATATTAACCATGTCTTACAAGGTATCGAATATTGGGACATTGGTGATCCAATTTATTAATGCAATCACTGTAGGGCAATGATGTGGTATGATGAGCGATTAAAGAAGCAAGTGATGAATACAACACAGCCAAAATTCTCTCTATGCTGTAATCAAGGAAAGATCCAACTCCCATTTCTTACGGATTGTCCACAGATTCTACAAAATCTTTACTTCAAGCATGCTGCAAGAAGTAAATTTTTTTTGGAGAACATTCGATCTTTCAATATGATGTTTTCATTCGCGTCTTTGGGAGGAAAAATTGATGCAACAATAAATCAAGGAAATGCACCACCCACTTTCATCATGTGCGGGGATAACTACCACCGCATCGGAAGCTTAATTCCATCTGAAGGATCAACGCCGAAATTTGCGCAGTTGTATATTTACGATACCGAAAATGAAGTATCAAACAGAATGCATGTCGTAAGGTATACTATTAATCTTATCCATGTTATTAAAAGAGTTAATTTAAGTTACAAATTATCTGTTTATATGGGGTCTTAACAAAATTTAATGTTGTATTCGTTATAGGATGAAACCAAGTTCGAATGAGTTATCGAATTCTATTGTTAATGATCTAAAGGACATGCTTGATCAGTACAATCCATATTCACAGTCTTACAGAATGGTTAGAGATAAAATTGAAAGTTCAGCATTCCATGAAGTCAAATTACGACTTTTAGGAAAGAGAGGTCACGATGCTAGGAGATACAATCTTCCTTCTGCATCTGAAGTAGCAGCTCTTATAGTTGGTGACTTTGATTCTGCCGATGCTATGCGAGACATTATTGTGGAGACACAATCTGGACTACTACGTCGTGTCTCTGTTGTATCTCCAGCTTATCTTCCACTACAATATCCTTTATTGTTTCCACGTGGAGAAGATGGTTATAGAGACGACATTGCACTAAATGTGATAGGAGCAGTTCAGTATCTAATAAGAGACATAAAGTGTCAATGAGAGAATTCATGGCATTTCGAATTCAACAACGAACCGTTGAGAGCGGAACAATTTTAGGTTCCAAACGTCTA